GAGAGAGTGAAACAGAATGCGTGCTAAATGTAAGAATTGACATATGAATTCTGTTTTAATTTTAGAAAAATGACCTATAGCGGCGCTTTTTAAAAGCGATTTCTTTTCCCCTCTATATCAGCACTTTCCCTTAAAAAGCATTTTATATGCTAGCCTTTTAGCAGCGCTTTTGAAAAGCGATGTCTAAGGTGTGACCTAGACACCCCCTATAGCAGCGCTTTTTTAAAGCGCTTTCTAATGTTGGGCTTTAGCAGCGCTTTCTATTGGTTATTTGCGTATGAACTTTAGCAGGGCTTTTCAAAAACACTTTCTAAAGGCATACTTTAGCAACGTTTTTTCCCTTGTTTTTTTTTTTAATTTTTTTTATAACTTTTAGCAACGCTTTTGGGGAAAAGCGTTGTCTTTGTAGTGTTGCCAAAAATCACTTTTGGTGTAGTGGTTGGATGTTGATGTTGTGTTGGATGGTTGTTGTGTTGGTTATGAGGAATGGGTGATGTGCATGAAATAATCTATTACTTGCTTATTATCATGTTTTCCTTTATATAATTATTGATATTTCACCCCTTTTGTTTGAATGTTGCCTTTTTCATAGGCATCATACAGATAACTCGCAGTAGAGGAGTTGATGTGAGTGGAAGCTGGAGTCTTCCAATTTTATTTTAGTGTCGGCGTCTGCTCTGATGTGTAACACCGAGGTCTTGGAACGTTTGCCTTTTTATTCTTACTTAAGATTTTTGGATATCTCATTTGTGTGGTTATTTACAATCTTTTGAAAACATGGTATTATTTTGAATAATTGTCTTAATGCTGAATTTTTCTGCTGTTTTAATAAAAATTGAATTTTCAGACAATCTTTCATTATCGTTATTATTGTTAATAATTTTAAATGTAGTAGGTGTGAGGGAAAATTGCCTCATACTTGGTTATACTTGTTTTAATGATGTCAAAACATATATAGTTAAAAAAATATACTTTGGACGGTATCATCGAGTCGAATATGCATACGTTATCTTTCTTGTGTCAAACATTTGTCAAAACATGTCTAGGTACATATAGAAAGAGCACTGTGTGTGTTCTATATGAGTTTGATCATGTTTGTCAAGTTAGAGATACATTAGGATCTCTTAGAAGTAGTTAAATATATGAAAATCTGCATTTTTGCAAGTTCTGAGTCTTTGAGTTGACTCATAGCTTGCTTAGGTCGACCGCTCATACAGAAGTCAATTTTCACGTTTTGCTCTTAGGAGAGCTCGCGTCAATCCTCTAGTCGACTCATACTGTGTGCATTTGTGTTTTTCAAAATTGGGGTCATTTGCGTCGAGGCATGGACCTGTTCTGGTCGACACAAAGAGTTATTTCCTGCATAATCCTGAATTCGGGAGAGCTCAGGTCGACCCTCCCCTTGTTTTAGGTCGACCGCTCGCGCGTTTCTCGCAGAATTTTTGTTATGCTTAATATTCTAAGTGATTTCTATGTTGGTTATTTGGTTTCAACTTTGCATATATATTGAGTTAGTTCATTCTTCATAACAAGAACAAGAAAAGTGAAAATATACATTGATTTGGTTCTCATCATCTTCATCCTCTTTCTTGCATTTTCTCAACAACTATACATAATCTTTTTTGTTGTGTATTCTGCATCATCAAGGTGATAACGTCCAAACTTAGGATTGGGGTATCGAGTTTGGGTTGAGAAATCAGTGGGTTTTTCTTGAATAAAACCTTGAGGGTTTTATCCTCCAAGAATCTTGGATTTTGGGGGTTTTGCATAAATCGTTCCTTCACAGATTCAGCCGAGTGAAGGTAATTGAAGAACGGGAGGTTCTGTCAATTTAGTAGCATTAACCGGAGGATTGTGGTAGGAAGGTTTGGGTTCGAATCGTTGGTGTTTGAAATCAGCTGGGAAAGATTTGAAGACCAAAGGGTTGTTCAAAGGTGATGCCATAATTTGAGGTTTACTCATCACGTTCGAAGAACTTGATTCATCTTAAATCAAGGAAAGAGAAGGCATAGGCTCGACATCAATATTTGTGTTTGATTTTTTGAATTATATTGCTTCTCTTGTAAAAACAATTTGCAACTGGTTATATATACGTGTCTCAGTTCTATTTTTAGAATTGAAGACAGACGTACCCCGAGCGAGAACGACAGGGGAACTACCTCAACAAATTGGTGTTCTCTCTTTTTACTATTTTCATTGTTGAATTTTGAGTTTGTGTGCAAACATATTAGTTGATTAAAATTTTGGTGTGTGTTAGTGCTGAAACATTTTTAGAAACCTCATTTCAATCTTTTGATTGTAATTGAAGAACATAGCACTTCATTCACCTATTGAAATTTACTTGAGGTGCTTAGCACACCAAGTGTTCAACTAATTGCGTGAACACAAACACTTGAGCTGTTTTTCAATTGGTTTATATTTCACACACATTGGAAACTGCCCAACTTTAAGTGAACAAAATCTGATTGATTTGTGTTCAAACTATTGATTCTAATTCTCATCTTTATCGATACTCCATATAGGCTTTGCGTATATCCGATCTTTTTGGTAACGGTTCGTTTAGACAAGTATAGTTCCTCGGCCGCTTCCACTTAAAACTTTTTAAAATCCAAATCTTAATAAGCACCGACTCTGTTTTTAATAAGTGATATATTCAACCCCCTCCTAAATCATTGTCGTCGTCTAACAGTAGGTGTTGCATATCTATTTATATGAGCAGGTGTTTGTTGAAAGGTGACATTCTAAATATTATTTTTATGGATAATTATTCTAATTTTATTTAATTATGCACGAAGGTTATTTAGGGTGTTACAAAAACCACAACACAAACAGAAATGGAAAGTAGCTAGTAAAATTCAACTAAGCTATCCAACAAAACACTAAGCCAATAAAGATCAAATTGAAGAGCCTCCAGGTAAGCAGAATAAATTACACCAGATCAAAAAATTCCAACCACCAGAACCTGCAGAGATATAGTAACAGACTTTCCCAAAGATCAATGACCCAACACCAATGCTACGATCTGATCGATTGACCGGCGAAACCGCAAACCAAGCTAAAGAAGATGAAAATAGAAATATAACCAACCACTGAAACGCGCCGCCAAAGCACACTAACTGGGAGACATCTCACCAAAGCCACGAAAACCTCCTATAAAAGCCCAAACCGCAACAACCCAGAACACAAAAAACAACGCCACAACTGACCCAATCTACAAAGAAGGAACCAAACATAGAAGCACAAGCAACTACCCACATAGAAATCTGAACAATCCAAGCAGAAAACCGCTTGCAACAGCCACACCTCGCCAGAACTAAAGGCCTGCAAGGCTTGCCACCTCGAACAAATTCTCAATGGTCAACACAACACCTAACCTAAAAACAGAACTGTTCCCACTCAAAATACAAGGCAAAACAGCAGCCAAAAAACAAGGTCAGAGAATACACTCTATCAGATTTAATATCCAAAGTTCCATAGGATATAAAAACCTAGTATTATTACTCTTTAACCAAGACCAAGCCACAATTTTAATATTACCAACCAAGCACCCTGCTTCCATGTCCTTATTCTTGAAAATCTTCTCATTCCTGCATTTCCATACTTACCAAATACACACGAACGAAATCGATTTAAGTCTTTCACCTTTTCCCTTACCACACTTTATTAGCTCACTGAATTGTTTAAAATTATCCAAACCCGAGTTATGTAACACCGTCGACACTTTCAACCATCTTAAAATGTCAAAACCTCACACACTTTTGGACACTAAAAAAAATGGAAAACTCTTTCTTCTCTTCCGCAACCAAACAGACATAACATTTACGGATCATTCATTATTTCTCTTTTAGCAAGATTATCTTTAGTTGGTATTTTGTTTTGCCTCGATCTTCACACCAATGTCGAAACCTTAAGGAGGTTACATTTAATCCAAACCTAAACATATTTTCTCCTTTCTTCTATCACATTATCTTTTAAAACTAGCTTATATATATCTTTTACCGAGTATTTTTTGTTATACCAAAACCACTTGCCTTCTACACGTTCACTATAATTTATTCTTTTAACTTTTCTATAATTTCCTCTTCAAACATCTTCTCCTCATCGATGAGAATTTGATTCCACATAAAATTCAAATTCTCTCCTCCTGCGAATCTCAACAGCACTTTGCTGACTGTTATCTCATTGTGCACAGTCAGATTAAACATCTCCAGAAAAATGTTCTTCAAAATCTAACCCTTTAACCATGGATCACTCCAAAATAGTTCCATTCTCCTAAACAAATAGTATTGATTTCAAATGAAGAAATATGTTTACGACAAAGAGAATATTCTCATTGAAAGAGAATATTCTCATTGAAAGAGAATAATCTATAAAGTAAAATAAAAAAAGAAGTTAAAGAATGTGAGGCAATAAAATGGGTAAAGTGTAAAAGTGGTAAGTACGTGAATAGTGAGATGGCATGGAATGAAAGCCGTTCAATTTATTATGGTTGTTGGTAATGTAATTCACACAACATTGCATTAACTCATTATCTGTACATAAACTATTTTTGTTAGATAGTGTATCTTCAACCAATTAATTAATATTATATTTAATTATTTATTTAACAATTTAAATTTTGTAAATTTTAATATAATTTATTTGGTGAATAACTTTATCCAACTTATTTTAATATAAAATGTCCTGCTTCATTATCGACAAAATTGTTTCAACATAATTTTTTTTTAAAAGATAATAATATTTCATATTTATTGATAATTAACTTACGGTGAGTGTGGAAGAAGCAACAACACAATACATTTATACATAACTACCTACCAGTCAGCCCTAGCTTGTTTGTTTTCCTTCTTGTTAGTTACTTACCATACTAAGGAAAGGAAGGTGGGTTCCTTCCTCATCAAAAACCCCTTTGTTTGGTTTCTTTTATTAACTTCACTCTCCACTTCTATATACACATTCTACCCACCATCTTTATTATTCCAAACATAGCCAAAACAAAAATGAAAATAGGAGGAGGAATTATTGTTTTTGCAGTTGTTGCGGTGGTGGCAGCTATGACTATGAGCATAGATGTGGCAGCAGCAGGAGAGGTGAACCATGTCGTAGGAGGAGATCACGGTTGGGATCCCACCTCCGACATCCTATATTGGTCTTCCGACAGAATCTTTCGGGTCGGAGACCAAATCTGTATGTCTTTTTTCATTTTTCTATATTGTCTTTTTATGTTTCATCACTCCTTTCATAAAAATGATACATATTTTCTTCATCACAGGGTTTACATACTCTGCAGCACAGGGATTAATTGCGGAGCTAAAAAGCAGAGAAGAATACGAATCGTGTAATATGAGCAACCCTATCATGATGTACACGGAAGGTTTGCATACAGTCCCACTTGAGAAGGAAGGAATGAGATACTTTGTGAGTACTGATTCTCAAAACTGTGAGAATGGGCTTAAGCTGCGTGTTGAGGTTCAGCCCAAAGACTCGGGCTCACGGGCCTTGCCTGTGACTCAAACTGTTGTTGCTGATGGGCCTGCTGCTCCTTCTGGTTCGGCCCGTTATGGTCATAATCTGATTCTTTCACTATTGCTATGTGTTATTGTGGTACTTGCTTATTGATGTAAACCTAAGTTTGATTAGAATAATTAGTTTTATGTGTTACTGCGTATTTGAAGACAGAATATTTATCAGTTTTGTGATAACTAAGATGTTGTCAACATATCTAAAGTATGTGTTTAGATTATATCATCGCAATGTTAACAACGTGATTGTCATAATCACGATAAACAATCAAAGTGTTTCACCGTGATTTTCTTTGTCGGTGGATAGTTTGTGTTGTTTTGTAGTCTTTATTGTGCAGTACCTGATTTGTGGGGGTGGTTTGCTATGTGGTGGCTTTCATTTAGAGCCCCATTTTGACACTTTACATTTAAACCAGAGAAGGAAAAAAAAGCCTCGATATTTTATAAAACCTGAGATATTGATATGTAACATTTTTTACTTTGAAATATTCTATTAAAAAAATAGATAAGATTTCTATATACTTAATTTCTTTAAAATTTTGTTTGCGGGTTTGAAGGAGAGAGAGAGAGAGAGAGAAAGTTTTGAGAAAAAGAGATAGGATAAATAAATAGAAAAAACTAAAATATTTTTTGAAAGAATTATTTTGTACTATGTTTGGAATAATAAATGAATGTTTATCGTTAATATTAATATTGTTCTGTATCGAAACTAAAAATATGTGTATCACAGATTCAACTTTTATTTTCTCTTTGATTGTTTCAATTTCAAAGTTGCAACTGCCTATCACCAGTAGATCATCTTCATACATGCATATGAATAGAATTTAGGTTCCAGCATTGTTTTTCATAAACACTCCAAGCTCAAAACTACACTTTGTGAATCTTTGTTGAACTAGAAAATGAATTCTTTTATTCCATGATCTTGGGCTCTGCTTTATGCCATAAAGAGTTTTATGAAGTCTACACCATGTTCTCCTTTTCTTTGATCTCAAAACCTATAAACTTGGTTTTGTTGACAAAGACAAATTCTTTTAATGACTCATTTAAAAATGTATATTTTACATCTAAACGAAATGAATTGCCACCTCTTGATGCAGACCAAGGCAATGACAAGCCATATTGTTTCTTGTCTGGCCACATGTGAGAATGATTCATATTAATCCACGCCTTATATTTGTAGGAACTCCTTTGCTGCCAATTTTTCCTTATTCTTCACTACTTTGTCATCACGATTTTGCGTTTGCTTTTACACTCATTTCACATTAATGTATTTCTTGTCACTTGATAATTTGGTCAGCTCTCAAGTTATTTTTTCTAAATAGATCTCATCTTATCAAGCAAGCTTTTTTCCAAATTGGTTCACTCAAAACTATTTTGAAATCAATTGGTTAACATTAGCAAACAATGCATAATACACCAATTGGTCGTCTTCATCATTGGCATTACTGGGAATCAAACCAAAGCTGACGAATCTTCTAGGCAAGTTTCTATTTCTTTAATGCATAGCTTCAATTTGAGTTTCTTCATATGATCTTGCATCACCCTCATCAATGTTTATAGTTTCAACATTGTTTGCCATGTCATCTAAGTCAACTGCACAATTTGAATTGGACACTCCATTTTTTGATTAAGTGACTCCAAAGATTAAAAAGGGATGAATTGTGATATTTGAAATTATTAAAAAAATCGGTCGATAAAAACTTTGATTATAAATTAGTTGACTTAGAAAACAAAGATGAAGCGTCAAATAATAGAGAGGAGAAAATTAAGAGAAATAAACAACAAGATAAATAAATAAATTGAAAATAAAAGAGTTAAGGGAGAAAAAGATCACACCATATTTGTGGACAAGAGTTCCTATTACGTGGATGTGGTTTATCTCTGATCCGCTGACTTTGAGTGGATTCATGAGTACAACCGAGGGGCGTTTGTTTGGTCTATTTGTACTCCAAATTAATTGAATGTTGTATGTATAAGATCAAACAAATGAGAACTAGTTGCACGTTGTCAATGGTAATATATTTGCATCCTTTATTCTTTTTTACCATTTTCATAACACTTGTCCTACGTCATTACTAATAATCCATATGTACCATTTTCAGGCATAAATCGTCTAACACTTTCCACGCATATTCGGCTAGTCATATGTTCATACCTACACTAAGGATTTGTCCAGTGCTTAAGCATTTGTCTCACTCAGAGGATATTAGGCGACCAAGCTCTTCAAAGTGTATCTTGACTACAAAGTAGCAAATGATATACCCTTTAATTCGTACCATGATCATTATCATATGCATCTATTGGAAGAGATAGTCTTCTATTATAGATTATTAGCTTGTGGGTCACGTCTGATGTATTAACATCTGCCTGAGCACGTCAAGCGTCAATTCGAGTATATGTAGTTTGTTCCAAGATATCTTTCTGATTTTGCTCCTCCTACTATGATCCACAGAGATGTAGAAACTGTGTATGATAATTACCTTAATCATCTGGTACCAAATGACACACAAGGTACCTTAGCTCCTAGGTACTAGAACTATGCATACGGCTACGTCCAGTAGTACATAACATTGTTATATGACACCGAATGTTCTAGGAAATCCACCTAGGTTTAAGAGTGTACACGGGTTCGGTTGGATTGGATTTGGCATAATCCGTTACCCAACCCGTTCAAACTTCAATAGGTTGGGTTCGTCGTCTAACCTGCAATTTCATTGCGAAATCCGAACTGAGCCGACTCGTTCATTTATGGGCTGGGTTGGGTTCGCGAGTTGTGTTTCAAGTAAAAAATATTTTTTTTATAATTCTTTTTGTCGGTTTAAAAAATATAACACAACTCAATACAATTATACTCATTTATAACACTCAAATTCGATGAAAGACATCATATAATGTCTAATAAAATTCATCAACACGACATAACACTTGATAATAGTATAAAATTCAACAAGACGTTATTTTTATAAAATACGTAAGTTGGAAATGATATAAAATAAAATAAGAAAAAACATTTAATCTTATAATTACTAAACTCATTGATTTAGTTGTATTATTCGTGTATAATAAAACTTTAAAAAAAAATTATAGTTATTAGTGAGATATTAATTTTATATTTTTATTTAAAATAGTAAGAAATTATTATAACCACACCAATGGATTGGATCAATGGGTCTGCGGGTAGCATAACTCAAACTCAATACTCAAACTAAAAATATACGGGTTGTTATGGATTGCGTTGGGTATGCTCGTAAATTAATGAGTTCGGATAATTTATGAATTGGTTTGGTTTAGGTCAGTGGATTCGTAGGTCGATCCACACCCACGAACACCCCTACCTAGGTTAACTCATCAGGAGATACTAAAGGAGGAGTAGGCTATGGCGAATCATGTCATTGATGGGTTGGCTAAATCCCGTGGTATGATGGATATTCTGCGAGCAGGTATAGACAAGTGAGTTTTTCCCAAAGGCTCTCCTAGGAGGGACATTGTAAATGTCGTTCTTACTAAGGCACATACAACACTACAGTTCAGGAGACAACGTAGAAACAGGGAATCTGATATACGCAATAGTATATTATTTGTATTAGAGATACTATTATCGTTTGTAATTTATTTTGACTTTATTATATATTTAGGATTGATTCATTTATATATCGCATTTTCATCTTATTTGATAAGTGTATAGTTTAATTTATTAAAAATTAGTATGATAATATAGTTATAATATATGCATATTTCTGGAAAAAAAATCAAAATATACTGTCTAGGGTGAATACGAAAATGTATATCTGTATTCTATTACGAAGATACATCTCCAAATTCATTTATGTCAAAATAAATTTGTCTCAGTTAAAAGTGCATGGAGTGCATATATAGGATGAATACAGAAGTGCATCTTCGAATTCATTTGTATCAAAATGAGGGTTTCTGAGTCAAGAATGTATGGGGTGCCTATAGAGGAAATACGGAAGTACAAACAAAAAAGAGATTTGACTCATTTACACATGTATTTGGTGTGAAATGAATACGTCCAAAAATACATTTCTGAATTCATAACAACATCTTTGGTTTTCTTTAGGATAAAACAGCTTCAAGCTAAGTATTTGACTAGTTTTAAAAGATTTTGAAAATACATTTTCAGAAAATTTCTAAAAATATATTTTTAAAATAAAGTTATTTATAAAGATCGAGTTTGACTTAAAAACAAACAAAAATGTGTATAAGAGATACGTTTTTATTCTAGAGATATATTTTTAAAAAACGGAAACCGCATGGTGCATTAAAACAGTAAGGATGCTCTAAAAATTCTCAAATATTTTTGGGTCTAAATATTCCTAGTTCTGCCATGGATCCAGTACATACCCTATTGATCTTGCACCATCTCACCTTCAATATTGCAAAGTTGTGATAAGTGAGTTTTTTTCCTTCGAGTTATCATTGCCGCATTAGAAATTTTGAAGTTTCCTTAAGCCAATGGGACTCTTGGCTCATTGTTTCAGCACTCTGTTCAGTTTCATTATTGCCTCTTGGTATAGGACCACGTTTAATAACACCCCAAGGCGCGTTTTGATTGTCCCTTATGACAAGAGTTCCAATGGACGAACTACTAATCACGAACTAAAAATGATATTTCTGGTAATTCCCTCCATTATGCATGTCTAACCAAAAATAATCAAAATCAATATTTTCTTAATTTTTCTTTTTTTTTAATTACACCCACTAACTAATATTATATACAACACTTCTTTAACATTATAACTTCATATTCTTAATAGTAAAAAGTACACCAATAAACGGTCACATCAGCTAGCAATATATTGTTCCCCTTTTTAGGAAATTAAATGAAGTACAAGTTATTTATGCAGTGGCATACAAAAGTCTTGCACTTAATGGTCATCAACTTACTAAAATCAATACCAAACTCTTCATGGCATCTCCAAGATGATGCACAAACTAGAAAAGTTATATATGACAATAACTTATGCAAGCTGTCAGATGGTGGTGTATTAGCATACTTTCTTTTTAATGATGCACCTTTGGACACAGTCGATCACTAGATAACACCTAGTTAATTCTTTCTCAGAATAACATAACTGG